CCTCCCCTTCCCTCCCCCCTCCACACACCCACCGCACGCGGAAGGCGTGGCCCAACGCACCTCCACGCTGCGGTGGGCAGCTGCACCCACTCCAACATCTTATTGTCTCTCTTTATTTATTGTTCTGCAAAAAGGCCTCTCAGCAGCTTTAATACAATTTAATTAATTGTCACGAAAGGTTTTGGTGCAATCGCTAATTGTAAACTCATCAAACCATCACTAATTTTGGTGGTTTAATTTGAAAGAGTTTGAATTTAATTAAATTATTTCTCTGAGTATAAATATTAATAATACTAATAATTAAGATGGACGCAATGTACGTTTCGTAAATTTGGATTTTATCCTGATAAGGATAACAACACTACGGCCTAAATTACGAAAATTTTCGAGTGGATAAAACACTCTCTCGAAATTATGTGTGGGAGAAATATTCCATCAACGTCAAATTCCAGATATGAACGAAGTTTCCCCGTATTGTGTCGTCTCAAATCGCGATCAACTACGTAAGCTACGAGTACGACCACAACTCTTATACTGCAAGAATTGCTCACGAGTATTGCGATTTTACACGTGTATAGTGACATGACCGACAAAATCAATGACCAAAAATTGTTAACTGAATTTATATAAGCGATGCAAAGGAGAGCGTTGTCTTGCATTGCAAAAATGAACTATACTAAAATTACATAAAATAAATGTGATAACAATTTAATGATATAAATTACAATTAGAAAAAATGTATTCCTTATTTCCCCGATCATATACATTTTCGGTGGGAGAAGGGAGGGGTCACTCCCGGTCGACTACCATTCGGACTCAACCCCGCCCTGCGGTCACCATCCGACGCGTCCGTCTCTTTTAGGGCTGGCACCGCGCACACAAAGAAGAGCTCTAGTGCTGGAAGCAGAGGGGAGGCTCATATATGCAGATAAATCTTTGAACGCATAAATGGACACAAAATACTTTCGTCTGATCGCATCAACTGCTACTGACTTTACTGTAACAATGTGATTGGTATGCTTACAATAAAATGAATGTTAAAAACCAGTGAATGCCGTGTCGTAAAAGTGATTTTATTTTAGGACTGCGTCGCTGGGCCTATCGGCCTCGTGTAGCAATCATTCTACTAGCGAAATAAAATGTTACTTTACCACTTGTCTCATAAAGAACTATTACAGTAGAAATTCGTGGAAACTCATGTGTAATAATCTTGTATAATGTGTAATATTGTGGGATCATTCTTCATATCCGATGTGGGAACTGCGTTGCTTCATGTAGCCCCTGCTTTGTTTACTTTTCCGCAGCGTATTGTTTCATATGGCTATGAGACTTCTTTGGGGTGCGCGTATGACTTTACGTATCAATTTACAATCGATAAACACTGAAGATAATACGTTTCCTTGCATGTCTACTGAAAAAAATGTGTATTTTTATTTGTGCTAAAAGGACAAAACATTATATTGCAAATTGCTTACAAAATATTACTGTAACTTCCAAAAGTCTACGTCACAGGAAGTGGGTGCAAAGGGTTCCACACATTTGTTAAAATTTTGAAGTACTTTGAAACTTTGATTTTATTATTTGTCTAAGCTCTTCACCCAGTTTTGCCAAATTGTTCTGTAATTACGAAAAATGTACCATAATATAAAGCTCTTTTACACGGATCCAATCGTCCCATTTTCCCATGATTTTTTAACAAAACTGTAGAAGTAGTGAAATTATTTAAAAAGTTATATCCAGCAGAAAATAATTTACTAAACCGGCATAAATTTATAATTAAACTTACAAAAATCGAAAATTCCTGAGCATTCCTTAAAGTTGTTTTTCAAAAATCTTCGTCAAATTCCGCGAAATTTTAATTGCGAATGTAGCAACCAAGACGTTGCGGAACGCTCCGTAGATGGCGCCCGGGTTGCAGGTGCAAACTCCCGGGTTCGACACCTGATGGGAGCAATAGCAACACGCAGCTGCCGAAAAAGCCCCGTGTGTGACTAGGGCTCTGCTAAGGGGATGGACAGTGCGGAGTGCAGTGAGTCTTATCCTACAGTGACTGCTTTGATTGATTGATTAGTGGTTTCGGATGCGTCAACTATTAAGGTCATTGGTCCCATAAGTGTAGTGCATGCGCTTGCTCGGGAGGTGGCGAGATCCGGCGGCCATCTACGGACGAGTAGCGCGGTTTTCCTCAGCCATGTATCTCCACCCCAGCCAGGGAAGCTCCCGGCATGTTCGATAGTGTAGTGCATGAAAGCGTGAAAGAGCCGGGGATAGGACACGAATGAGATAGGAAAGATCGCGCGCGGTCCGTGGCCCGTTTGTTAGGGCACTGCTCCGGCATTCGCCTGGTGTTGATCGGAGAAACTACGCAAAACTACTGTTGAGAGCAGCCGGCCGCCAGAACTCTCCCCCAGACAGCGCAGCGGCTGAAATGGACTTGGTTACTATCGAAACCCCCTCCCGGTGAGAGGCACTGCAATGGCGTTAGTTGATGCCCTGTGGCTGCTTCAAGAGGCAGCAAGTGCGCGAGGCAACGTATAAAGGAACGCGTCTGGGGCGAGGGGTTGCGGAAGACACATTATCCAGAGCTGATGGAATAACACGTGGAATGATGAAAGACAGGCAACACAATCGACTGCTGTTGTGCCTAGCTGAGAAGCGAGGCACAGGACACCTCCCCTGTCGGACGGAGGGCGCGGCTGTGCCCTGGCGGGGGGGGGGGTACCAGCGGCCGTGCACTCGCATCTTACGCGAAAGGGCACAGGGCCGCTTCGAAGTGGGAATAGTGCTAACGGACGCCGCGCGTCAACGCAACGCTCGCGTGACACAGGCCTAAAGGGGCGGCCTCTCCCAAGCCTTTGCCCACCAAGAGGATAGGGTGGACCGGGCGAAGTGCCTTGGCATTCGGGAGGCCCGGGTGCGACCATCCCGGCCGGGGTTTCGTGGTTTCCCTCGACCATCCTACTGGAAGGCCGCGACCAATTCGCCAACTGCGCGAAGCCACGGAGGGCAAGCGAATTCGAGGCGCCGCGGGTTCCTGGTTGGAAGTAAGGGCGCCCAGGCCAATCGCCCTTCGCGGGTCACGTGGTTCGAATGCAACGGCGCGCGCGTGGCACCCAGTCGACATGACGCCGGCGCGAACGATAACTCAGAATGAGCTGGATCATCTCGGGGGAGGTTTAGAACTTTGGATCATTAATAATCAGCACTAATAAAAGATATTTGCAAGACACGTCTTTGGAATTTTTGGTTGGGAGATAATGAATCTATTTGATAACACACCAGGTCGTGGCATAAAACGATCCTCATGAATTTCTCTCGCCACAAGAGATCATGTGAAAAGCAGAATTATTTACGAGTGCTCTGTGAATTGACTTCCGATATGAAAGCGAGGAAACATCATAAAATATTGCTCGTAACCTGCGCGTGTCCGTCAGCCACTCGCGGTGGAGCCTTCTGGTCACGTGACTTGCCTTTCATCCCGACTGCCTTCCCTGCTGCCCTTTTCTTTTCGTGGTCATCATTCACATCGTTATTATTACGGTGGCTACTATTGTTATTGCTCGGGGAGGATCTCAAGCTACTGTAGGGGAATCAACAAACAATCATATCTTCGTAACCCTTTGGGATATCAAAACTAACAAAACTATATTGGTACCATGGGTGATATTTATGGTGTGTTTAAATTTCATGTTGAATGATTCAGTCGGTTTTGAGTTAAAACTGTTTGTAAAAACAATTGATTTTCCTTGAGATTCGTTGTAGAAATGGAGTAAGCAAGTTAAAAACCAATTAAAAGCTGAAAATGCGAAAATCACATACAGCCACTTCAGATTTATTTATCTGCATTGATTAATTTAAATACCGTTTTAAATTACTTTATCCTTTAATAGAGTTGATGGTGCTTATCACCCCGTCACTCCCAACAAACTGCTCACTGCCCAGATACTGCGGAGAACAACCGAAGGTGGGCGTCTCTGGTAATTTCCGTCCTTGACAGAGACCTCCGTATAGGTTGCAGGCAGATAAGGAGCGCCCTCGAAAAGTGCGTTGTCAGGCTCTAGATATGGGGCAAAACTTAAAGGGTGCCCCCTCTCAAAAGAATGGGGAGGGGAGGGGGAAGGGCTAACCAGTACGATAAAATCTGCCCCATTTTGTAGCACCAGTCTTGCCGGGTGGGTGTTGTTGTCTTTAACTATACACTGGTCCATTCAACAACGCCCAAATAGCTTTATATTTTCCGAATATTACAGCTAGTTATTGCAAATTAAGAATTTATCAGTGTTATTATTATTTTCTTATTATTACTACTAGTATTATTACTATTATTATTGCTAGTAGAGTTACTACTACTACTACTACCATATGTCATTACAATTTTTTTTATTCTCGTCAGGGTGTTGAAATATTAATTCGTGAACATCTGTTTTCGAACAAAATAGAACTCCTTCACAGATAAAAGAAGGTTTTCACGTTGGCCAGGATATTCATCGTTCAGATGACACGGTGCAACAGTGATTTAATGCCTCTTGAACTGGTACTAGTTTCAAGTACTTTATCTATTGTAAGTCGGCGTTATGCACGAACAATATTGTACTGTATTTGTAATTGAGACGTCTTTTGTTTTCAAATGTCGCATCAGACTTACTAATGCTCCCTGATTTCAGGCCTTAATTTATTTTCTTCCAGATAGTTTCTCGAGTATGAAGTGGTCTTCGAGATAAAGTGATTTGATAACTTTGAGTTAAAGGTGACATGATAATATTCAGATCTTGAAATCGAATGAACTATTCACCATAAGTTCACTGTACCACAAATTAACAAGACTGCAGTGTTTGAGATAGCACTGATGACGAAAAACTTAAAACTCTTGTTTTGAGATAGCAGAGTACATTATTTTGAAGAACCTAGAACAAAAATAACGTAA